AGTGATTGTTTATGTCTTGGTGTTCTTGTTTGTTATTTTCATAAAAATTGGGATTGTTTAAGCGCAATAAACAACTCTTGATTTAATGAAAATATGTAATGTTCTTTTATGTGAATAGATTACAATTCTTATGCTTGAGTAGTTCAAGGAGACCTGCAAAATATTTTCATCATTAGACGTTAAAGTTTATTAAAGTGTATCAAATGTTCTTCATGAATACTTTGTGCATGGGAGTTAGAATGAAAGAAAGATTCGCTCTTTTATAAACTTTTTTATCTTTTGGAATCATTGTTTGAGTGCTTGAGGTGAGTGGGGGTTCAAAGTAACCAAAAGGCCTTTGAATCTTTGACTCCGGGCCTTATAGAGAGTTGACGATCCTCTATATGTGGTCAAGGATATGAATCAACTCGAGCCTTTGAATTCTTTTCTATTCTTAAGTGCGTAAGTTACGAAATATATTGTATACGTGCCTATTATACGTGTAATGTTCTATTTGTGTTCGTTCTCTTTTTAATTTTGTTTTGGGTTCTTGGCGGTGTTTCTTGGGTTACCTTTGTTGGAGGAGTTGATTATCTTTTGAGCATATTTCCCCCATTTTATCAAAAAACCAAAAAAATAAGAAAATATAAAAACCAAAAATATTTTATAAATTTTGGACCACACGACAAGTCCCCAACAGCGGTGGAGGAGGCCTTGAGAACAATGTCGTCCACATACAGTAGAATGTAGGCCATGTCAGCTCCCCGGGAGTAGACAAAGAGAGATGTGTCGCTCTTGCAGCCACGGAACCCCAAAGTGAGAAGAAAACCTGCAAACCGCTGGTACCAAGAACGGGGGGCTTGCTTGAGACCATAGAGAGCCTTCTTCAACCTGCACACATAATTCGGCTGGGCTGGATCCTGAAAGTCAGAGGGCTGGCTCGCATAGACTGTCTCGTGAAGTGTGCCATTTAGGAAAGCATTCTTGACATCTAGCTGATGAATGGACCATCCCCGGCTGAGTGTAAGAGTGAGAACAATACGTACCATTGCAGGTTTGACAACGGGACTGAAAGTCTCGTCATAGTCAATTCCAAAGCGCTGATTAAATCCACGAACCACCCAACGAGCTTTGTACCTCGACAGTTCACCTGTAGGGCCAAATTTGTGGCGAAAAAGCCACTTGCCGGTGATAATATTTTGGGAAGGGGAGGGGGGCATTAATTCCCATGTTTCATTTTTAATCAAAGCATTAAATTCATCACACATAGTATTGTACCAGTTTTGGTTCTTGAGTGCACTACGGTAGGTGGGAGTGGGGATATTTGGGCCATGGAGTTAAGGTTAAGAATGTGTTTGGGTTTGGATATGCCGACCTTGGACCGGGTTACCATGGGGTGGGTAGTGGGGATGGTGGGCTGACNTTTGGGCTGGGGATGCGGGTTGGGTTCGGGGAATGGGGTGTTGGGTTGGGGGGAGAAGCAAGTGTGGTGCGGGTTGGGATCGTCCTCCGCGGAGTCAAGAAAGTCAAGATCTGTGGGTGAGACTGGATGGGAGTAGGGAAAGGAGTGCTCATCGAAGTCACATGACGGGAAATGATAATTTTGTGAGTGACGAGATCAAGACATCAGTACCCGCGTTGGTTAGACGGTTATCCAAGGAAGACACAACGGGCCGAACGGGGGGCGAGTTTGTGGGGTGCTGTAGCGGAAAGGTTTGGATAGCAGAGACATCCAAAGACACGGAGGTGGGAATATGTGGGTTTAAGACCATAGAGAGCTTCATGGAGGGTACGATTTTGAAGAGTGGTGGTGGGTAAGAGGTTAAAAAGATGAGATGCCATATGTAGGGCTTCAACCCAGAAGGTGGGTGGCAGTTGGGCTTGGAATAAAAGAGAGCGAACGATATTATTTATGGTACGAATTGTGCGTTCTGCCCGTCCGTTTTGCTGACTAGTATGGGGATAGGAGAAACGAAAAAGAATGCCCAAAGATTCAAAAATATTGCGTAGGGGCCTGTTTCTGTATTCAGTACCATTATCGCATTGCACAGCTTTAATAGTAGTGTTAAACTGGTTTTTCACAAAAGCTATAAAAGTATGGAGATGTGAGCAGGCTCCAGATTTAATTCTAAGAGGAAATACCCATAAAAAATGTGAATAATCATCCAAAAGTAACATATAATGTTTAAAACCAGTAACACTAGTAACAGGCGATTGCCACAAATCAGTATGTAAAAGCTGGAAAGAAAAAGTAGAAATACGACTCGATGACTCAAATGGGAGACGAACATGTTTTCCCAACTGACAAGCATGACAAAGAGAGTGTTGTAAATGTTTAAAAGAAGAAGTAGGCAAGAGACTAGAGACTCCTCGGAGGACGGCAGGGCTCGGGTGACCAAGGCGACGGTGCCAGAGCTCCGGGCTTCCGGTGGCAACGTTGACCTGGGCTTGGGCATGGGCGGCTATTTGGCTCATAGGATAAAGAGGCCCGGTATTATTGGACCGATGAATCACGGTTCCCGTCAGCATATCCTTCACAGAGAAACCAGTGGAGTCAAATTCAATGGAGCAATTGGTGTCACGGGTGAATTGTCTAACTGAGATAAGGTTGTGGATTATATGCGGGGAAACAAGGATGTTTTGTAAGCTAAAGGGAGGGGATGTGGGAAAGGTGTAGTTACCAGTGGCCGTAGTGCGAACTTTAGAACCATTACCTACTGTGATATATGATGATGAATTTAAAGAGTGATTATGAACATGAGAAAGAGTACCTGGGTCCGAGGCAATGTGGTGGGTGGCGCCGGTGTCCATATACCAGTTTGGATTGCGGAGGGTGAGGGTGTCAAAGTAGTGGGCTAAAGCTGTGGGGGAAGGGGGGTTGACACCGGCGGTGTGGGTTACAGGAGAGGGGGATAGGGACGGGTAGGGTGGGGCTGTCGGGTGGGGGTGTGGGGATGGGTTGTTTTGGCTGTAGGGTGCACCGGCATAGGGGTAGGGGGTGGTGAAGTAGGCTTGAGGGTAGGGGCTGTGCGAGTGGGGGATAGGGCATGGACCGAGAAGGCCCGGGGTAGAATTCGGGTGGGTGAACTGTCCGGAGGGCTGCCCGAGGGTGTGAATGCATTTGACCCAGAGCTTCAGCCGCGACCACGACCCCGCTGCTGTCCACCACGCTGCCGGTGGTGGTGCGGTTGTCCAGAACTACCCCCGCCGCTGGAATCTGCGTGGCCCCAGCGCTGCCGTAGCGCCGAGGGCCGCCACTGCTAGAGCCGCCACTGCCCACGTACAGGGCTGTCCCACTGTCTCCTCCGATGCCGCCAACCCCCAAATCTGCTCGTTGTTGTTCAATTAAAAGTAGTGCTGAGCGAGTTTGAAGAAAAGTCGGGGGCGGTGTTTGGTACTGGAGAAAGGACGTTTGGCCCCGTAGATCATCCGGAAGGCCACAGAGGACATGTAGAACGAGTTGTTGTTCGAAGATGGTGGCATCGACGTCGTCCAACCAATCGGCTAGATTCTGTAGGGTTTGGCAATAGACGGTCATGGAGAGTGAGCCCTTTGTTGTAGTGCGGAATTGGTGCTCAAGTTGCATGGCTCGAGCCGCCTTATTGTCGTGGAAAAGGTTGTAGATTGTTTGCCATAACTCCGAAGCCGAATTGGTGGTGGAGAGGACAAGATCGCAAACTTCGTCATTCACCGTAGATAGGATCCATCCTTGAATGAGGGCGTCAAGTTGAAACCACTCGGAGTCGTCGGCACTAGATAGAGTAGACTTGCTAGTGAGAAAATCACCTAGAGAGAACCGGCGGATGAGAAGAAGAAAGAGCCGACTCCACTTTTTGTAGTTGGGATCGGAGAAACTGAGAAGGATCGGAACATGGAGCTTCACGTTGGAGATGGTCGTGAAGGCCAAGTGGGGAGTCGGTGAAGATGATGGTGCACCGGTGACGGGCGTTTTCTCGGACATGGTGGCCTGCTGAGGAGAAGAGGAGACTGCTGAGAGAGAGAGGGACGCCGAGGGAGAAGGTGAGCCGCCGAGGGTCTCCAGTAAGAGAGACCGACGGTCGTGAGATGTTCGGCCGAGAGAGAGGGAGGCGGGCTGCTAGGGTTTTGCAGCGACGCTTAGTTGAGACGAGAGAGAGAATGGCACGAAGGCTCCGATACAATGAAGAATGATTAATTTCTATGATTAATGATGGAGGGCTGAGCCTCGTATATATAGTACCAAGGAATCCTAACTACGGAAGGAATCCTATACAAGGCAACTTCCATATTAACAATGATTACAACATTAATATTAAATATATACATACTATATTTAACACAAGGAAGGAAGATCAGGGTCAAACATCCCCACCACGGTCGGAGCAGTGGCGAAGCTAGGAAAAATGGAATCTGCCATAAGAAATAAGCATGGTGGAGTGGCCCGAATAAAGGATGTTCCTTCTTCAAGAGAAGGAGTGCCGGCGCTCAACGCCATATCGCAAAAGAACAAGTACAGAAATGAAGAACGCATCACATTTATAAGCAGAACAAAGCATTCATTGCAAAAGCATTCATTACAGGAGCATTCATTGCATACAAAGTCACATTCCAATACAAGGTATTTTGGAAGCTAAAACATTTATTACATTACACGCCCTACATACAACAGTTGCGGCACCGGCAACATTTATTACACAGCGGCACTGAGAAAGGAAAAGACCTAAGGTGCTCTACCTCCCAATGGACCTCCTTTTTCCCTGGTCTTGAAGTCCATGGGTAGGTAGATGCACCCCGTCCTAAGGCCCCATGGACTTCCAGACAGACAAAGCCCAGGCACCGAAGGACGTGGATGGCCCCCCTGTTCTGCAAACCTCCATGGGCAGATATACAGGGAAGGGGCATGGAAGGGATATCTAGGAAGAGCCGACGGACTCTTCCGGGTGATTGTCACCCGCAGGGATGGCATCAGCAGCCGGCTGAGCGACCTCAACCGGAGTCGCAGGCCGTTGAGGGACCACGTGAAGGTAATTCACGAGTCTTTGAAGACATTCAATGCGCCTTTCCAACTTCTTTGCACGGTACCACCATGAGCATGTACGCGATTCGGCATCTTCTGGCGGAGAAGGAGGAGGACGACAGACGGTCTTTGTTTGAGAAGACGAAGGCATAGTTTCCCTGAAATTATTGGAAGCCATGGGAATGTCGACACAATTGGCGTAAGGAAGAGGTGGTCTCACAACACAAATAGGAGGTCAATTTATAGGCCCGAAAGCAAAGGGATAAAGAAGGTGAACAGTCGCAGTGGTTGGAGTTGGAACTGTTTGCGTCGACACGTGGAGGAAGCAGTGCGACAGTCTAGTGGTTAGGTCTGCTTACATGGGGAAGCTAAAGTGTCAATCCCTTAAAAGACGCAATTCAAATATATTCAAATAGATAATGTCAGAAGAAAATCTATTCACTATTCACGCATGCAACAAAACAGTAGGCAAATCTTGTTCATTACAATGGAAGACAAAACCTCAAAAAAAATTACAAAGGAAAAGCATTAAGGAAGGGCGTTTGAGGGTTGCTCTTCACCGATGGCATCTGTACCCGTGTCCTTGCGCTCGAGCGTCCCAAGGTAATCCGGATTTTCCCCGAGCTCACCATTCAAACTAGGGTCGTGCATGTTTGGGATGTCAACCCCGGGCGGAGGAAAGGACGGATCCACTCTTCTGGTCAGGCGAAGAACAAGCTGGATCCCATGGTAGACGCCGGTCTCGAACCACTTCATCCCTTCCTCCCCCATCTTCTTTACGCTGTCCTCGGTCCCAAGCCAGATGTCGTAGTAGATAGCCATTTTTTCCAAACAGACCTCTTTGAAGGCTGGGGACTGAAGTGTTGGAACACACTTTGTACGATAAACTAAAGTCGTGTTCATTTCTGACAGGTTTTGATAATTGCCAAACCGCCGTGGATATGAAGAGTTTCGTTGAATAACTCAAGGCGTGAAGAATGGCTTGGAACAAGACCAAAAATACTCAAGGACAAGATCAAAAATTGAAGACTTAGTCGAGTCAGTCTTTTGTGATCAAAACCGACAATAAATTCAAGTCTCGATTCTCAAAGAGTCAAAACAATTTTTACAAATCATAAAATATTTTTGTGCATCAAAATAAATATTTTTGATGATTTTTTTATTGTTAAAATCCCTGGTCCTTGCTCGGAATCTAAACCACCTAGGTCGGCGTTCGGCGTTCGGTTTTTTGGCGCCTGAACCAACTCCGTGGTTTTCAATATTTTAAACCTTGTTTTTACCTCTGAGCATTTTTAAAATGTTCCCAAATAGTTATTTTATAAAAACCACTTTTGTATCTTGGTCAATCGGTCTAACACGTGAAAAACGGTCAAAACCGTACGCACGTGATGTACGACCTTGGAGACTTGGTTTTTACCGAACAAGTCTTGTTTTCACTATTTTATACCATATACAATGTCTTTCAAATCTGGTTTTTACTTTTGGAAACACTTTGTTTTTGGACCTTGGTTTTTCAAAACGAGTTTCAGCTAGGTGATAATCGATTATCACTTTGGTGAAAATCGATTATCTGCCTCTGCAGCTTTGAACTCCAAAGTTCTGAAGCAAGCAATAATCGATTATCACATCTGCAATAATTGATTATCAGTCTGTGCAGCCAAAACCTAGAATCTTCTGAGAGGACCAATAATCGATTATCACTAGTTGACAATCGATTATTTGGGTTACTGTTGTCCTCCAACGGATAGATTTTTAAACTTTTGCGCAGGGAATCTTTCAATAATCGATTATCATGGCTAGACAATCGATTATCACCCTGCAACTCTGAAAAATTTGTCTTCATCCTGTTGGAAACTCTAGCAACGGGTTTATCCCATTTTGGGATATAAAATGGCACCCATTTCCTCTCATTTTACACACAATTCTTCAACATTGCAATACTCTTTCATTGCATAAGCATTCCTATCTTTTCTTAGCTATTTGAGAGCTAATTCTTGAAGAAGTTGTCGTGTTCTTGAGCGTTCACTAGTTCACTCATATCTACTCTTTGTGAGAGTTTTTATTCCTGAGTGTTTAAGTGTTTTCATAAACTTTAAGGGAGGTTGTTCCCTTGTTGTAAACTCGAAGGAAGTTCTTTGTTCCTTCGTGAGAAGTCTTGGAGTGCGGTATCTCCGAGCAAACACGTTGAGGCTCGTGTGACTCGAGTTCTCAAGTTGTATCGGTTTGTTGAGCACCTTTAAGCTTAACGGAGTTAGTGTAACTCGAGAGAGTCTCTCGAAAGGCTGGATTAGCCACACGTTGTGGTGAACTAGGATAAAATTCGGTGTGCTCCTTCCTTACGCTCTTTACTATTTTCGCTCTCGTTTTTAATTTCATGCGATTTTTCATTAAACGCTATTCACCCCCCCTCTAGCGTTGGGCCTTTATTCTAACATGAAGGAAGTCGGAGATGGCACGCTCTTTCTCGGCAACAGCTTGCTCCCTCTCAGCAAGGGCCCCATCTCGCTCAGCTTCCAGAGACCGCTGCGAGGAGACAGCCCGTCCAGTTCAACATCTAGCTCTAATATTCGGCCCTCGGATTGACGCAGCCGCCCCTCGAGCTCGGCCATGGAAGCCGTCAGTTGGGAGGTCGATTCCTCCGACTCCTTCAAAAGGCCCTGCAGCCGGACCACTCCTCGGACTTCGCCACGGCTTGCATCTCGAGCTCGGTGGCCTGTTCATGCTCGACAGCCGCCAATTTCCTTAGGCGGGACAACTCCGTCTCCACCGAGGCCAAGAAGTCCACCCCTGAGGAAAATTCGGCCCCGGCTCGGCGTTTGCTGATCAGACTCAATTTTGCCGACACCTAACAAAAAACCAAGTCAATCATTTATATCGATTAAGAAAACGGAGGTACCAGGACACTCAACTTTTTGTGGAACCCATCCACCAACCCTTGCAAGGACGACAGGATCAGGTCTTGTCTTTCAGCGCCGCGGACAGAGATGCGACCTCGGCCTCGGGTTGTACATTCCCGTCAGATATGTCAAGGGAAGCGGGGCACTTCCCGTCCTGAGGAACGGCCAGACGCTTGGCCAACGGACTCTGGGTCAGAACCACGTCCTGCGTAGACGCGGTCTTCTCTTCCTCGGTTTGGAGGAGTTTTCTTTTCCTTTGGTTCCGGGAACCACTTCCCGGTCGCGGATGGTTGCAGCAGACCCGGATGTGTTCCCCGAGGGCGGCTCACGGTGTACCTCCTCTTCTCGCCCCTGGCTTTGGGCTAACAGCTTAGCCCTTCGGATAACCTCCAATGGATGCATGTCTCTTGGCAGTACAAAGCAAAGGTTAGAAAATTTGTCATTAAAAAGGGAAAAGTCCTAAAGTGAAGGACTGACCTCCGGAAGGCTCCACATCAGCGACGTCCTCGGAGTATGACGGCTGTCCCGACTCTTCATCGGTCTCGATCTCCTCATCCTCTTCCTCTTCTCTTTCCTCTGACTCCGGATCTTCCGACCTCGAGGTGCTCTCTTCGAGCCCGTGCTTGGGACGGCTCCCTAGCACGGCCTCGGCCAACTCGAATTGACGCTCGAGGGAAATGAGGATTCGCACCTCCGCGAGGTTCTGCTCCGTGCACACCATATATACGTGAGGCAGTTTGGGCCGGAAGCCTTCCAAGAGTTTCTGCGCATGCGCGAGAAGCTCCGGAGTGGGGTCAGTACGAGGATGACGGATAAAAGTGTGACAATCGGGAAACCTGGCTTGGAAGGGATGCCGGTCCCCGGGGAAGCCAGAGATGAAAACAAACTTAGGCTTCCAAAGTTTCAGGGACGTGGGGATAACAGCCATGCCACACTCGTCCTGAGAAGAGACAACAGCGTACGAATTTCCTTCACGCTCCCCGACTTTGGAAACCTTGAACATATAACGGAAAAAGTCTAGGGACCAGGGGACTCCCTTCAGGTGACACTCGATCAGGAAAATTGAGAAGAAATAATAAGAGTGGGGACTGAGCTGGCCGGGCAGAAGACGATAGAAGTTCAGAAATTGGACTATCAGGTCGTGAGGAGGAAATTGGAGACCATAGCGCATCGATGCCACATGCACCCCGACCTCGGCATCAGGGCTGGTCACGGAGAAAACGTGATTTGTCGCGTGCGGTCGGTGCACGGAGTAGCCCTCCCCCACGAAGCGAAGGGCCTCGTCAAAGTCGATGTCCAACAGAAGACAACCCGTACTCGTGATTAGACCCGTTTCCAACACGGTAACGGGTGAGGATCTCCAGGTCTGATTTTTGACGGTCTTCGATTTTTTCCCTTTTAGGCGCGGCGCCCGGGATGACGATGCCACGGTAACCGACGTACGGAGAGGCACCGCACTCAGAACCCTAGAATGATCGATTCCTCCCATCACACCGTCAGGGCGGAGGGAGGGATCTTGTCGGTACATTTCCTCAAAACAAGTCGCCGCTGGGTCAACAACGGGGATAGGAGTGGAATCGGAAGACGCCATGAGAACGGAGAAGGATTAACTAACCTTCAAGGCGGACTGCGACGGCGACGACGAATGGGCAGAGACGATGAATGAAATCAATGGCAAAAGTGCGGCGCAGAAATGACAAATGTGGAGAGGATTGGAGAAAATTCCCGTTTCTATACACGGCCAAGATTTTCAAAAATCAAAATTCAAATTCCAATTTTTTAGATTATTTCCCTCGGCTTCGCTACACTCGGCCAAGGAAGTAGGGGACTCATGATGGATACCCGGGAATGGGGGTATCCAGCCCAACAGGAAGACGGTCCAGCCCAACTTCGCTAAGGCCCACTTGACGGGACCAAAGCAAGAATGAACAAAGGACCATGGAAAACCACCGCGGTAGCGGTACGCGCTCGGCCCCGGCAGGGTCGATCATCCTCGGACCACCCCTGGCCGACCTTCCGCCAAGAGATTTCTGAAGACAGGTCGTACGCTCGGTCTCAGCCCTGGGCAACGGCAGATCAAGGAAACTGACTGAAGTCAAGATCAAGGGGCCCACGATTAGACCCCCGCCATGCCTCTAGCAGAGTTGCTATAGCCACCCTATTTGTGACCTATTTTGTATAGCAATCCTAGGGTTAATGATGTGGTTGGACGCCGCCAATGGACAACCCAATCTTAGTGGGCCCAGACCGTTGGATTATGGACCAACGGTCGGAACCCTAGTTGTAATCTGCATATAAACCCCTTCCCTTCAAAAGGAAGGTAGAGAAAAAAATTTTACTTACGTTCTAACTAGCACAAGATTACTCTCAGTTTGCTTGACCCCAGATTTTGTACACTCTCGACTTAGTTCGATACTCTTCTGCCTAGTTTCCTAGGCCCCGGGTTCCTTAACCCAACAATTTGTATTAACATAAAATATAAAATTATCATATTTAAAAAGTATATCAAAACTTTTATAAATAAGAGGTGAAATAAATATTTTATTTTATCAAACAGTTAATAAGAATACACGAATAAACAAAAGTACCCGTCATATTTGAATAGTAATTATTAAAAGATATCACCCCATATAAGAGTAAAACATATCATTTAACCTCAAAATTTGAATTCCATATTTTTATCGCAAAATGAGAGTTTACCATTTGAAATTATAATACTTGTATAATGAAATTTTATTATATTTTTTAGTATTATATATTGGCATTACTGAAATTGTACTCCTTTTTTAAAGATGAGAAATATAAAACTTCTTTTTTATTACGTTCTTCATATTTAACATGGAAATTATTTTCCGTCTACTAATGTCACAAAACACAAGAAAATAGAATAAAAACTTTTCTGAAAAATATTTTCCCCCTACCAAACACACTATTAGTTTAATACTTTTCTCATCTACTCTCTTCATTTCTAAAAATATGAGATGTTTTGATTTTTAAGAGATTTAAAATGTATTATTTTATTGTTGAGTTTCTAAAAATATCCTTAAATATAATGGGTAAATGTAAAAGTTGATAGGCAGATTAATAATGAATAAATGCGATGTGGTAGGTAAGTTAAAAATTAGTTGGATTTAAAATGACTTATCAATTTTCAATAGAATTGAGAAAAAAATTTTGAAACAAAACAAAGAAAAAAAGTTTTCGGAATGAAGAAAATACTCCCTTTGTCCCTAAATATTTGTCACACTTGTATTCCCGAGGTAAAATATCAAGTTTTTTCAATTCATTTTATTTACATATTGGTATAGAAATAAAAAATAAAATTTACATATCAAAAAACTACATGAAAAGTTCTTCGAAATAAGAGGTGTCGAGAATATTTTATTTTATCAAATAATCAATGAAAACGTAGAAATAAATAAAAGTTCCCGCAACGCTGAAAAAACAAACGTTGCAAATATTTAGGGACGGAGGGAGTATTAAAGATGGGTTGGTAGCTTTTTTTCCAAATCAAAATATGAGGTGGAAATTCACCCGACCCTTAAGGATAAGGCCGCACAATAAGCAATCTTCTGTAATCTAAATTTCTCATCGTCTCTCCCCTCAATTCTCCCTTGGTTCCCAACAATGGCCGCCGCCATAGCCACAACTTCCATGCTCGCTGTCAAGCCCAGCATACCCATCAAATCATCATCACCCGTCATTACCCACTTAAAGCCCAAACCCATCTCACTTCTCTCCCAGCAAATCCTCCCGCCCAAATTCCTCTCCGCCGCCGTTCCCTCCTCCCTCGCCGCAGCCGGGGCCTTCTTCGCCGCCCTGGCCTCCGCAGATCCGGCGATCGCAGCGCACCAGATATCGGAAATCGCCGACGCCGCGGCCACCGACGACAACCGCGGGCTGATCCTATTGCTGCCCATCGTCCCAGCAATAGCCTGGGTGCTCTTCAACATCCTCCAGCCGGCGCTGAACCAGCTGAACCGGATGAGAAGCAGCAGCAAGGGCGTCATCATCGGGCTCGGTCTGGGCGGGCTGTCGGCGGCAGCCCAGCTCCTCCACCCGTACGCCGCCTCGGCGGCTTCCGCTGACCTGACTGGAGCGGCGGCGGAGGAAAACAGAGCTCTGCTGTTGCTGGTGGTGGTGGCGCCGGCCCTTCTCTGGGTGGCTTACAACATTCTCCAGCCAGCTCTGAACCAGATCAACAGGATGAGATCTGGATGAATAATGTTTAATTATATAATTTTACTAATTGCATTTACTTCTGCAATATTTTGAACTGTTGTATGTGTTAAATGTATTTAAAACCTCTTTTTCCTATTTTGAGACCCAACAGGAACAGCTTAATCTTCCAAAGATGCTCAAGGGCATATCACATATTCACATATGACACCTATAGACACAAAATTTTGTATGGAAAATGCTAGAAACCCACCACCCCGCTTCCACAATACATCGGATTTTATACATGATAATCGTCTATGTTGTTCATAGATGATCATCGTATCGTGTGTGCAGATATAAAATCATTTGTCTTATCATGCATGGGGACGTAGAGTCATAGACGGGGGGACACCGTAGAAGGGTGCATTTGGTATTTTGTGTGTGCATGAGACACAATGGTGTCAAAAATGTTGTAATCTGTGGTGTGTCAAACATAGATTATTATCCGTTTACCTATGAATTCTTGTCATGTGTGAAGACATCTGTGGTGGGTTCCTAGCATGATCCTTTGAGAGTCCTACATTGATCTAGTGGATTTCGAAGTGGGTTACACTTATACCCATGGCCATCCTCACAAACCTCCTCCCTTATGGGTAAGCCAGCTTCATATCCAATAGAGTATTGTAGGGTTATAATGTCCTAACTCCTAATATTATGACCTAAGAAACTGGTGTCAAAAACTTGTTTGTTAAGCTCACTTTCTGTATCACAGTATGAAGAGAAGGTTGGAGACATGTGAGATAACTTGGCTTAATTCCATTGTGATTGTGGCCTTGTTTGACATTAATTTTAGTACTCCGTATTTGGTTTTAACGTTATAAAATGTTGTCTAATAGTAGCTTTTAATTTTGTCATTTCCAAAATGAATCTATATTATTAGAAACTGTCCAAAATATTACATTTTGAACGAGAATTTGTTTTATGGAAGAGTTTGGCTTTTGTACGTTGGTGTTTATCAGAGAAATTGTTCATACATTATGGAATCAAAATAGGGAATGCAAAACATAAGACAAGAATCAAGGCAAGAAAATCTAAATGAAAATGTAATGCACAGACAAAGCTTGGATTTTATTAAGTACTAACAAGTAACACCTCAATGAAAAGTTAAGAAAGAGAGGAAATAAAGAGAAGGCTTTTTCTTAAATCTGCTCTTAAACTTTAACCATAACATTTTTTCTTTAATTCTTTGAAAAAAATGTAAAGTTCAACCATACAATTCCACCTTTCATACATTTGCATGCCACTCTATTAGTGGGATGAAGAGAATATAATAAGTTTATCCAAATACAATATTAAAAACAACAAACATGGTGAAAAAATTTTGGTCATGAGACTCGAGGACAAAATTGTTTTGTTGGAGAGGGTGTGGTGGTGGTGGGGTGTGGGGGTGGAACTCCAAACATTACTTCTTTTTTCGCGCTGGAGACCGACTGATGGATTTGGTTAACCATGCTTGAATTGGGGGTCTCGTGGAAATAGCCTCCCAATTTTCTAGTAGAGGTAAGGTATGCGTACACCGCATACCCTCATCATACCCTACTTTTTTAATGGGATTTTACTAGGTTCGTTGTTTTCACCGGGGGCCAAATCAATAGGCTGATCCTCAGGATCAAGTTGGGCGGCTTTCTGCCTAGCACTCTTGAATCGCTTAGAGCTTCTCAGAATTTCATCCATGCTTAACTTCTTTGCACTTGAAAGTCTGTTGAAAACACACACAGCATATTGTGAGAAAAAATAGGTGTGTAGTCTGATTAAGTGGAAATTAGAGAACCGGTACCCTTCAAAGATGAGTAACACATGAATACCAGCAGGGCACATAAGCAATGGAATTTCAGTGAAAACAAGAAAGACATGAAATTAGACAGAAATTGCCTAAAGTTGATGGTTAAAATGACAGCACTTTCCCACTAATGACAGCATTAAAATGAACAAGCATTACAAACTACTACGGAGTATGTCTATGTGATTCAAGAAAGTGCAGTCCCGAAAAAAGTGCAGCACAAATTTCTAGAATCACTGCTTACAGGAATAAACGTAACGAATCTTAGGGATGGAATCTAGCCTTTGCTGGCCAGATAGGATAATTACGTCAAAATAAGTGGTGTTTGACGGTTATAAATGCCAGAAAAGTTCATCCTATATTTATGTCATTTCTAGAATTTAAAAAACCCAGCCAGAATCTATCCCTATGTCATTGCTCTAAATGTAAAATATGAAAACTTACTTGAATAATAAATTACTCCGTTCATGACTGTTGTTCCTTTTGGCGCCATTGAGTGCTATCAATTCAAGATGGATATGAAATATATCAGTTCATATTGCAAAGAGGAAAAAATACTTTAACACATATCTTACAAGTTACAACATCTTGAATATTGTAAAATCCTTACGGGTTCATTTGGTACACAGAATTGACGGAATTGGAATTGAATTGAAATTAGAATTCTTTGGAATTGATTTGAATGGAAATGAATTCTCCAATTCCAATTCATTTTTGGCACTACTAATTCCAGATCCACATATTTTTGTGCTACCAAACAATAGAATTGGATTTGTTTTTCTCTTTTAGTTTTGTTATTTGGGTGGGGTGTAAAGCTCACATCAAGCATATAGCAAATGGGACTAAAGTAAGAAGGGCTTCTTTTTGGATGTTGTTTGAGACTAGGGCCAACAAGGATATGGGTGCCTCAATTAGCTGGAGTAAAAAAAATCCGAATTTTGTGTGTTTGGCTATCATAAAAGAAGCATTACAACAACAACAACATTACCCCAGTGCCTCAACGGCTCCCGCCCATTGCGAGGTAAGGGGGGACCGAATGTACGCAGTCTGACCCCTACGTTTAAAACATAGAGTGGCAAAGAGTAGAATGGAGTCCAACTAAAAGGAAGACATACTCATGTGTTCAATAGAAGAGATATTCTCATTTTTCTTTGATTAGTTACCTAATTATATATAGAAATTATCCATTAAACTCAAGCATGTATGCACATTCTTAGTCATGACATGGATAATAAGGATCATATAATGACTGCTCTACTGAAGAGAAAGAACTTCAGAGGGAAATGAAGAATTCAATGTGATACGTACCATTACTGGAAGAGTGGTGACCTAATTCACTTCCATTTTCCGAGGAGTCAGATGGTGATGATGATGATGACGATGATGATGATGATGATGATGAACCTCTAGATGGAGTTCGAGTACTGGATTCAGAAAGTCCAACCCCATTTTCATCATCGCCATAATTATGGGATATCTTATCCTTAGAAACAGTAGTCGGCGTAGTAATAGCCTCTGTGATCTTACTCGTATCCTGTTTACTAGCCAAATTCTTATGATTTGAGGGTAACTGTGATATATCTTTTTTACTTTGGAGAGACTTTTGAGAACTTGTTGATGTTGAGGTTGATTTATCAAAATGCTTTTTATTTCCAGACACGCAAGGAACTGCCTTTTTGCTCCCTACTCTAAGGGTCTTCTTATTAGAGTGCTGTTTGACCTCGTCCTGTTTGTCATTTCCAAGTTTAATGCTGCTACTATACTCATGTTCATCATTCATACTATCATCTCGGGCGGGTGAGTTATCCAAGCCTCCTGACCCAGAAGGACCAGTACCCTTTGCTGATTTCTCCTCTGCTGCTTTAGTGTCCCCACTCAATTTCACTGTTTTTTCAACCTTATCAGCAGCAGCACACTGACCTTGTGAACGAGGAACAAAGTAACGCCTGAAGTCAACCCCTTCATCATTATCATTACTGACGTGACCATGTAGCTGCATCTCACTATCATCCTCAGGATTTTCATGTGTCTGCCCTTTATTGGGATTACTTTCAGGAAGCTTTACATCAGTAACTGCAACTTGGGCAAGCTGAGCATCTATAGTAGTTCCTGACCCCTCAGCAACATTAGGTGGATGGTTAACCAACAACATTTTCTCATTTGAAGCTACCAATTTCTCAACACCAACTTCGTGATCGTTCTTGGCCAAAGCCGTGAGGGTCCCTCCAGCAGCATTTTTGTTCCTTTTTGGCTTGTGTTTTGCTTTCTTTACTGTATTCTCTGGATCAAAATGACCTGTACAAGTTTGAGTAACCTGCAAAGGTCCATCCTCGCTAAGTCCTTTCTTTACAGACATATATTCTGCCCCTCTCTCCTTGGCCTTGTCAATTTCCATACGAGAGTCTGCAATAGGAGTATCAATTGGTACTTTATTTGATACATTATCTATTTCCATACAGTGCGAGAGGCTCTGGTCCTCAGATCTACCATTAAAACAATCAAGAGTGGTGAGCCCTGAAGCGACCCCCAAAGCAACGCTTGAAGGATCTGCAGAAGAAGAGCGTTGATTGGATGTCTGAGATTTCTTTGACTTCCTCTTCTTTTCACTTCCAGCAGTGTTTTCCACGTTTTTCTGTGCTTCTGGAGATGCACAGCTTGCTGATTGCATGCTTACATGTTTTCCTGTTGGCTCCTCTTTCTCCAATGCTGCTATGCTTTGGCAGGTTTGAGTGTGAGGCTTCGAGTGTTCAGCTTTTGCAGTACTGTCAACCATAGGTTCAACAAATTCCACATTTAATGCAGCCGAAGAAATTTCAGTTACCAGATCATCACCATCTGCTTTCTCTAATGTAAGCTGACTCTTTCCTGCAGCCTTCTTGGCACTTTTTATCTTCCTACTTCTTTCTGTATTTCCACTTTCTGAATCCAACTTAGATGAGATGGTTGCGGTCTCACCAATCTGTGTGGGCAGACACTTTTCAAGTGTTCCCAAATCAGGATTGCAGGTTTCACGCAACTTTTCATCTTTCGCATTCCATTTTTCTTCATCTGCTTTCATATTGACCACCATATTTTCAATTTTCCCAGTCTTATCATTCTTGTGATCATCAGAGTCAAGCTTGGGTACAACTGTTTGATCAATATTTGCTGTACCTGTTTCACATTGAAGCTTCACACTATTCTTCTTAGACTTCTTTTTCTTAGATCTCTTATTATGCTCTATGTCCCCCTTAGAAGGATCAGCTTCAATATTTTCCACATTACTTTCATTGTTGATCCTGTCATGTTTGTCAATGGGCATGCTGCTTTTAACATTCAAGATCTCATCAGCTGCACGATCAAGGGTGAAATTCAACAGAGATATTGAATTGTTACAGTTGAGATCAACATTGGGTGTCATCTCTTGGTCCTGTTGAATTATTGCATCGGACATCTTTTTTTTCTTCCTCTTTCTTTGGTTGTTCTTTTCTTCACTGCCCTTATCTGACAGGTTAGGAGAAGTTAACACATTTTTCAAAATTGACTCTCTTTTGTCTTGTTCTGATGGCTTAGATTCTGGAGTAAGCACTGGTTGGGCTTCATTATTCAGCAACAAATTCGGGATTTCAAGAGGAAACTCATGAGGTGCATCTTTATTGTGCTTCATTTTCCGCTTTTTAGTCATAGGTCTTTCTTTTGAACTGTCACCACACATGTCATCCCTGAGCTCATGGCTAATTGTGTCAACTGCTTCCTCTTGAACAACCATCCTAGGGGCTATCCTTCTCTTGGCTGAACTTCTGCAAGTGTCAGATGACAGATCTTTACAGTGCTCATTTTTGGCACGTGCAGTGTCAATTCCTAATTCTCTTGAGGGACCATTGGGAAGACCACGGTCCGGAGCACCTTCATCATAACGTTTCACGCAAAGCAACCCTGCTTGGTTGTTACCGGTTTTCATGGTAATCTGGCTCGCCGCAACAGGACTGCTAACATAAAGGAACCAATCTCCTTTGGTGCCTTCAAATGCAGTTTTTACAAGCATGGAATCCGGAAGATGATAAAAATTGCCTTTCCGTTTTACCTGTCATCAATATTATATAAGAAAACAAAAACTATGAAAAAAGTAATCAAAAGGGTACATTTCTGTAAAGTCTGGAAGCAAATGTAGACGAATTAGACCTTCACAGAGTGGATCTTTATCTCTCCCATCTCAGGAAAAGAATGCAAGTGTTCAAATAATATCTTCTCTGCGTCCCAAAAACACAAAAGCAATTTTTTGTTAATTTTGATAACTCAGCACACTGCATAGAGAACTTCAGAGATCTCCTTTTCCAGCGATTTAATTCATACCAAAATCAATATAATACCACTATTCAAACAACAAATGAAAAAAAAAATCTATAATAAAATTTCTCCACTAAACACGAGATTTTTTTTTTAAATAAGGTAACAAATTACAGCCGAATCAATCAATCAACCAAGAACATATGCACTTACTTTTGAGGTCGGATACAGCATCAGTATTGGATACCATCATCGCGAGGTGAGTTTCAAGGTCGGTGTCTATGAAAACTGAATGGTGCGACGCCGCTGGTGCAGCCACGATTGCCGCGCCGTCGTCGGAATCTGCCTCCTCCCGACGACGTTTTGCCATTGATTAGAAGGGTGCTGGCACTTGTCTGGAGCTGCTAATCCCGCGATTGAACACGAGGGAAGCTTAACGAGCAGCTTTGCCTGCTTTGGAAACCCTATCATGCCCTAGAAGAGGTTTTAGAATTGAGGGTGCTTCCGTACCCCGTTCATAAAATTGATAGTTTCTATTCCTGGTAAATCGTCCCACCTTGTCCCAATCCGAACACATCCCCTCCCCCTTCAGTTACACCTCTCAAGTTGATTTTGATTTTGAATCAAATTTTGACTTCAAGTCAAAATTAACATGAGGGTGCAATTAAAGGGAGTGTGGAGGTGTGTTCAGGTCAGGGCAGAGTGAGGATTTACCGGGGGATTAGGGAGTAGGAACCGTCAATTTTACGAATGAGGCACCGGACCACCCCGGGTCATGACATTGGTTCCCAATGTCATAGGAACCGACCTCAACAAACAATGAATTTTCAAATGGTTTTAATAAGTTATTCTATATTCCTCGAATTAACCTAATTTTTTTCAAAATGATACTAGAGGATTCATAAAAAAATGAGAATTAAAAATTTTGAATTGAATTGTTACTACTTAATTGTAAAATTAATTATTTAATTTTATATTTTTGTGTCCTAAAATTTAATAGAAATTTACTTAAATAGCAATAAAACATAATGATTTTCTCTAAATAGTACCACATGTGTTTTTCTTCCCAATGTAGCACTTTTAGTCATTATGGACATTATTAAGTACTATTTAGGGAATGAAACAATTTAAGTGCTAGTTAAGAAAAATAATTTAAGTTTTAGTGTTATTTAGTGCAAATATTTCAAAATTTAATATTGTTAGTTCTTATTTTTCGGAGTAAATTTAACATGCTTAATTTTAGTCTCTTAAATTAGTTTATTACTTCGTACAACTCAATATACTCCCTCCGTCCCTAAATAAACTTCCTTTTTTGACTTTTTGAGAAATTAAGGGAGGGATATTTTGGTGTTGACTTTCCAAAAATATCCTTGATGTGATGTGTAAAAGTAAGATGCGATATGTAGATTATTAGTAAAAAGGTATGATGTGATAGGTAGGGTATGAAAAAGTAAGGGGTAAAAGTGGTTTTTTAAAGGAAAAGAGAAGTTTATTTGGGAACAAAGAAAAAACGAGAGAAGAAGTTTATTTAGGGACGGAGGGAGTATATTCTTTTTATAGAAACGGATCAGTTTACAAGTACATGTGTTAAAAATTACAACTAAATAATTAGTACTTGTTGGTTAAGAATGCATAAGAATTTCGATACTTTTTTTAAAGTGTCGTGAGTGTCTTTAAAGGGTACAATTATTTTTTTTAACATCAAAGCAATTCAACATAGTTTCACATTCGTATCATTTGTACTAAAAGTTCTTTTGTGAAGATCTTGTAATAAGAATATACTATGCGTCTATGCCCGAAAACCTCCACATCGACAGTGTCCAAAATCAATCAAAGCACCTTCAAAGTTCTTAATTGCTCTAAAAAACCATATATTCACCAAAATTTAGATCATATTTGCTTAAAGTTTGGATAACATCATGTCTTAAATGGCATGGTAATGAATGACTTTAATCGTAAAACAAAATCGTACCGAACCGTTTGAAAAATAATGATACATAGCAATTCTACGAAAATAACAGGCCGTGCCAACTCTTAGTTTTGGGAGATTGGGCTCACTTTAGAAATGATGAGTTAGGCTATGTGATCTGAGGTGCGATCCAAGGTGGGGAACGATTGTCGTGCCACACTGGGCGTGATGGGGGCTTGATTGCTCTTCGGCGACGGGCATGTGCTCAAATTTCAAAAGTTTGCCGTTGAAAAACGGCTAGAAAGTCGTTGAACATTGTTATTATATTTATTTTTTGTTTTGAAATGTTAGGACTACAAAAATCTATGAATACTAAGATCTGCATTCTTCTCTCCCACTTAGGGCTGTAAATGGATAACTGAAAATTGAATTACGGTCTGCATCCGTATCCATTTACACAGAAAATATTCGTATCCATTAAAACGGTTATTATCTGTATCCGGTTAAAAACATCCGATTGGTAAGCAGATACGGATTTGGTAATCATACATACAATTTGTTTATAATTCGCTCCGCATAAATATCCGTTTGATTAACCGTTTATCTGTGTTTTTCCCAATTTCTTAGTTTTATATAAGACATTTTTATATGTAAAATATATGTGTAAACACATAAAAATATGTGTGTATGTGTATTCTATATATCTTTTTACCATACAGAATTATCGTACAATATTATAAATTACAAAAAATAAGAAAAATATTACTCCGTAACAAATTACGAAGTACAATTGAGTGAACAAAAATTAGACCTTAATTTAATTGGAAATTAAAGTATTGTTCCATTTGACTTTAAAAATTAAGAATGAAAAATATATATCTGATATTCGACGGATGCAGATACGATTTCAATATTTAGTATATGCCAAGATCCGTATTTGAATTTGATATCCGATAAAAATAAACAGATATGAATCAGGTAATTGCATATTTAATCCGATTTATATCTGTTTACACCTGTACTCTCACTCATCTCAATTTCTTCCTTATTCAATCAATAAAGTTTTTGTTATAATCTTATTCTCAATTCTATACTCTCTTCTATCCAATTGATCCCAATAAGGCAATAACTCCAACAACCCTTATTATAATACGGAGTATGTTTTTTTTGTTGTTATCGAGCTCATAAATATCAGGTGACACATAAACATAATTTATAAATCAAAAAAGAAAAAAATTATGAATAACCTATTTTTCTTTTAAAAAACAATAATTGCTTAAGTACTGTTGTAAATTTGTAACAAACAGTAAACACAACATCCTCCATAATAATCTATTACAAAGTAATATCCTGCCGGAGTACATACCAAAATAAATATGTGGTGACACATAAACCTAGTTTATAAATAAAAAAGAATAAAAATCCGTGAATAAGCTATTTTTCTTATAAAAAATAATAATTGTATAGGTATTGTTGTCAATTTGTAACAAAAAGTAAACATACAACATCCTCCATAATAATCTATATATATCCTACCACAACCAATTAAATAAACAACTTCATTCATACAAAATAGGAGAAAAAAATAGACCAAATCAAATTAATACGGAGTACATATATACCAAAATAAATATATAGTGACACATAAACCCAATTTATAAATTAAATCAAAAAATAAAAAATCCTTTTGACTGGGGGCACTCTTTTTTTTTTGAATGGGGGGCATCCACATTATTAACCCAAAAATATTTCTTTTTTTTTTTATAACTAAAAAGAGCTCATTTGAATGGGGCAACTGCCCCCATTTGATACACATGGAATTGCCCATGCCAAAGTTTTACTTGAACTCAAATATTTATATACATAGAAATAGATATTACTAACATCATTTCCAACACTTGTTTAATCTTAACAAAATCTTTTTTTATAATGCATGCACATGCATGTAACATCTTTGATGATGTAAATGTGAAAGGAGAAGAAAGCACTACTAGAAAAATCAAGGATAGAGACATAGTACACCGGATCAAACAATATTAGCTAAAATCCACTATTGGTCCTTCAACTTTATCAGTTGTGCACGATTGGTCCTTCAAGTTTTAAAAGTCCATAAATAGTCCTTCAACTTTATAAGTTCTGCATCATTGGTCCTTCAAGTTTCAAAAGTCCATAAGTAGTCTTTCAGGTACACGTCAGCCCTCCATATGAAGTCTTTTTGACAGTAGATATTAAAAGTTAAACGAAATACTAGTTTCATAGAATACGAGTAAATTCCACTATGTACGACTACTCCGTATTATATGGAGCTAGTATTCCATTTAGCTTTTAACATTTACTGTCAAAAGGACCTCATCTGGAGGGCTGACATTTACTTGACGGACTATTTATGCATTTTTAAAACTTGAAGGACCAATCGTGCATAACTTATAAAGTTGAAGGACTATTTATGGACTTTTAAAATTTGAAGGATCAATCGTGCACAATTGATAAAGTTGAAGGACCAATAGTGGAGTTTAGCCAATAATATTTCATTAGTATTATTTTTATTTATAAAACAATTGAGTTTGATTTTTTTTATTAAATGGAAAACCATGAAGATTTACAAAATAAATGTATGATGTCAACTGTCAAGAATTGTTGAAAAAATAATTAAATAAAGATTTTCTTTGTTCACATATGTGAATTTTGTGTATGAAACTGAAAGATGGAGTGGTTCCCAAACGACAGAGTTGAGGTCGCCGAGCGGAAAGAAAAGACAATAATGCCAAGTTAGACAGTAACCGTAACAAGGTTTTATTTTTGGGATGAAAATTTTCCCTAATGTTTTTGTATATAGCAGGACTCACTAACCAAACTTTATCTTTGGTCCTGAAATGGATGTGAGTATGCTTGCACTATTTACAAACCAAATTAAACTTTAATTTATTTTTTTTATGTTTGTTACACATATGTTTGACAAAATATTATCACGTCGGCATTTATTGTTTTATAAATCTTTTTAATGTAGTTTTTAAATATATAAAATTTATTTTAAAGTTCACATTAATATTCAAGTAAATCGAATTGCAAATAATTTCAATCTAGCTTTTTAACCATTAAGTTTAAATTATTACTATTCTTGCACTATTTACAAACCAAATTAAACTTTAAATTAATTTTTTTTATTTTTGTTACATATTTGACAAAATATTACAACCACGTCGTCATTTACTGTTTTATAGATCTTTTTATTGTAGCTTTTAAATATATAAAACTTATTTTAAAATTCACATTAATATTCAAGTAAATCGAATTGCAAATAATTTCAATCTAGCTTTTTAACCATAAAGTGACATCGTTTTCAGGGCAAAAGTATTCTTTAGGACAAAAAAAGTAGGAAGATTTTATTGGAGAAATAGAATAAAAAATTGGACAATTTTAATCACATTAGAATACTCTTCCTGCCGTAAAAAAAAAGAATACTCTTTTCCTTGATAATGATATCTAGCTGAATAGGAGACAATATCGGTTTTCCATAGACATTTATCAAAATAATGACTTGATCTCATGCATGCTCTCATCATCACCATTATTTGAAATAACATTTTACACTCCCTAAAATCATGGTATTCCTTTCCATTATTTTCGTTCTTCCTCTAACATGTCAAAAACACACATATATAAAGGACAATATTTTATACAAGTTTGTTTCTATAAACCCAAATATGAACTCCAATGTTCAATGTTCCTCAAACCTTTGAAAAAAATAAAAAACTAAAATACGTGTTTTGAGATATAATAATCATGTCAAAAATGCCATCATCCATTGTTCTTTCTATCTTTCTCCTTTTGTTGTTATTAGATTTTTCATATGTTAATGGCCACTTCATGGGAGCTTCAACCTCAAGTACCAACTATAAGGGTAGCTTCTCCCAATTGTATGCTTTTGGAGGATCAAGTACGGACACCGGAAATGCTCACTCCATGGGAACCCTTAAAGAAAGTGTGAATGGCTCTTCATCACACGATGATCCAAAGTCGTACACCAAAGGAAGATTAACGAATGGTCAACTTGTAATTGACCATCTAAGCGACTCCCTTGGAATGCATTCTCCTCTTCCTTATCGAAGTGTCTCAAGTTTTTCATCGTCAAAAAGTAGCGCGAGTGCTTCCACTTCAAGCAGCAGTCATTCGTTTTCCTCAAGTAGTAACTCTTTTAGTTCGTCATCAAGTAGTGATCAAAGCAAGACAGGAGCATCAACATCATCAAAAACTGGTGCAAGTGTTTCCCCACCACCACCATCAAATGCTTCATCATCTTCAAATGCTAGCACAAATGCTTCATCATCCTCAAATGCTAGCACAAATGCTTCATCATCAAACACTAGCACAAATAAAGAGTCATCATCATCACAGGTAAACACCGATAATTCATCACAATTAAAGAACGACAAAAATGAGTCAGAATCGAAGGGAAACAAAGGCGAATCTTCGTCGAAGAGTAACACTGATGATTCATCATCACAAAGTAATATCAATGCATCTTCATCAACAAAAAAAGGAGGTTCATCATCCACAAGTAATACAAATGACTCATCATCCAGAAATGATAAAGGTATATTGTCATCGCAAAACACCACAAATGCTAAAGACATTCCTTCATCAAAGACTAACGTTGATACTGCATCATCACAAGAAAACAAGAACACTTCATCATCAGAAAATATAGATACTGCCTCATCAAATAGAAAAAATGATAATTCATCGTCAAATAACAACAAGGACACTTCATTGTCAAACAACAACCAAGACACTTCACCATCGAAGAACAATCAAGATACTTCATCATCAAAGAGCAACAAAGATACTTCATCAAGTAGCAACAAAGACTCATCATCTTCAAACAACAAGGACACTTCATCTTCAAACAAGAACAAAGATAGTTTATCAAGTAAAGACAAAAATACTTCATTGTCAAAGAGTGACAAAGATTCATCACTGTCAAAGAACGATAAAGATTCATCATCGTCAAAGAGTGACAAAGATTCATCATCGTCAA